TCTGGGTGCCGCACTTCAGGAGGGATGCGGACAGCATGGAGAGGGTCCAGAGGAGGCCACTCGCATGGTCAGGGGGCAGCAGGGCAGGCACTATGAGGAGAGGCGATGGGACCTGAACCTGTTCAGCCTCCACAAGAGAAGGCTGGAGGGGGATCTAGTGGCCTGTTACAAACTAGTCAGAGGGGGCCAGCAGGCATTGGGGGAGTCCCTGTTCCCCCAAGCACTACCAGGAATGACTAGAAATAACGGTCACAAGCTGGTAGAGGGTAGATTCAGACTAGACCTCAGGAGGTGCTACTTCACAGTCAGGGCGGCTAGGATCTGGAACCAGCTTTCAAGAGAAGTGGTGCTGGCTCCTACCCTGGGGGTCTTTAAGAGGAGGCTAGACAAACACCTTGCTGGGGTCGTTTGACCCGAGTAATTTTTCCTGCCATGGCAGGGAGTCAGACTTGATGATCTGCTCAGGTCCCTTCCGACCCCACAAACTATGAAACTAAGAAACATCTGGAGTACAGTGTCCTGTTTTGGACCCCCTGCTACAGAAGAGACGTGGACAAATGTGGACAAACTGGAGAGTCCAGCAGAAGGCAACAAAAATGATGAGGGGGCTGAGGAACACGTTTTATGGGGCGAGGCTGAGGGAACTGGGCTTATTTAGTCTGTAGAAGAGAAGATTGAGGGGGGATTTAATAGCAACCTTCAACTACCTGAAAGGTGGTTTAAAAGAGGATGGAGCTAGACTGTTCTCAGTGGTGGCAGGTGACAACAAGGAGCTATGGTCTCAAGTTGCAGCAAGGGAAGTTGAGGTTAGATATTATGAAAAACTTGCTGTCTAGGAGGGTAGTAAAGCATTGGAACAGTGTACCCAGAGAGGCTGTGGAATCTCCATGCTTGGAGGTCTTTAAGACCAGGCTAGACAAAGCCTCGGCTGGGACGATATAATTTGGGATGGTCCTGTTTTGGGCAGGGAGTTGAGCTAGATGCCCTCCTGAAGTCCCTTCTAACCCAAATTGTCTATGATTCTAAGGTGGATAAAGAGATTGCTTTGTGGATGTTCACAGGGGACTTTTCCTAAGCATACCAGGTTGCAAAGGAAAAAGCAGGAAGATACATGTTTGAAATTTAAGAAAAACTGTGTAGGCTGGCATCAGAGACTAAATGGAGAGGGAAGTTCACCTGTCAACATGAAATGAAACATGACAGATACAGTGAAGACTTTGTATTTGATGAGATGGAGAAGGAGCCAATGGAGAAAAGCAGAAAGAAGAGCAACGGAACCAAAGCAATAGAAAAGAAAGGTGATCTTTGAAGCACCATTCTGAATACTATACTTTTGTCAGGGCCAGAGAAAAATATGTTCTAATGGGTTTGATATGAGCCAATGAGATTGTACACAAAAGTTTTAGCTGTGTGGATGGATATGAAAGGTTGTTTAACTGAGCAAGGACAAACATACTTATACCATTGGGTATACCCACTAGTCAACAAAAGTCAGCTGATCTAGTTTAAATGTTTCATCTGTGAAGATATAGCTGCAGTAATTTACCCCAAATGAAAAAGAGCTAGGATAGACAAATAAAACAATTGCACTTGATTCAGCTGTACTTCAGTAACTCTCTCTTCCTTTTGAAATGGTGCAACTCCTTTGTCTATACACCCTGTACAAGTTTTATGCAGAAACAATCTGCAAGACAAATGTAAATCAGAATGCAAAGACTTATTTGGACCCCCTGCTACAGAATGACTAGAAATAATGAATAAATAAATAGGTCCAAGCTGAAGACGAGGTCCAAGTAACTGGCAGGATAATAGTGTTATCAACAATGATTAAGAAAGAAATTAGCAGGAAATGTTTGGGTGCGTGGGTGTAAAGGAGGCACATTAATCTCTGTTTTAGTTCAAGGTCAACCTGGATGGCAGCTAGACAACCATAAGGAGATTTCAGAAAGATGTGTCAAAATTTTAGTTTGTGCAGAAGGAGACAGGTCAAGAGTAGAGAGACAGATTTCTTAAATATGGTAGTTACCATTTACATTTAGAGAAGCTTACCAAGAACTAAGGTATAGAGGAATAGAAGAAGGGGACCAAACTTTGTGGAACCTCCACACAAAGTTGCAGGGGTATACAGCAAACTCTTCAAAGGCCAGGCTGAAGAAAGGAAAAGAGCTCAGGGAGGCCAGGCTCATAAAAGCCAAGGAATATCTCAACAAAAGCATGGTTTACTGTATTGAAGCAGAAGAAATATCAAGGAGTAGAGGTTCTAAGCTTTGTCCAAGAATATATTTGCTTAGCCATTTTAGTATTTATATAAGACATATTACTTATTTTTCTAATAATTGATCACAACAACCATATACATTGAAAAATTAGACTTCAAAGCAGTCCTTTGAAGAAAAGCATTCTCATCCTATTATGCTGCAGGGGCATATTAGACTGCAAACTCATAGCAGCAAGGAACTTTTTTATTTGTAAAGTCCTAAAGCACCTTAGGGATAATAATATTTTAAAATGATTAATAATCACTATTAATAAATAAAGAGCTGCTATGTTGGTAGAATTCTGCAGTCAAATATGAGCAGTCTAATCTCATCAACTTCTGGGAAAGAATGGTTGAGGATGAATAGAAAAAAAGAATCATACCAGCTACTCTACCAAAACACGATGCTAGAGAACTTTAAAATAAATGTATTATTTCATTAACATAAGGTCTCGTTGTATAAAGTAAAATCTTAATATATTTTTTAAAAAATGCCTTGATTTAATATTAAGACCATTGTAAAATATAGACTTTAAATCTATTTTGACTTCACATTGCATAACTGACTGGCTCCAGGCAAAGGCAACATTTAATATTGTCTGACCAATCTGCCCCATTACCTAATGTGGTAAACAAAGACGCACACAAGCCTGTGGGGGGTGGAAAGTAACAAAAAGATAATCACACTGACATGGAAAAAATAGGGCTCAGTTCATAGGAATTCCTTTATACATTCAACAATGACTAATTCTACTAGTTACAATACATCAATGTACTAGTCATAGCATCTCCAAGTTTTTAATATTGTAGTCTCACAGACAACTAACAGAAAGAAATAGGATTAATTATTACTGAGTGCGTTGGTGGTCAAAACACACAAAAAGTCAAAACGTTGGTGGTCAAAACACACAAAAAGTAACTGCATATTTGGACTTTCCAAATAAAAGTAAGTTTTTTAGTAGCAGCGTACATCTATGTTAGACACTGTGGGCTTTTTTCCCCCCGCTGTTGGTTGGATTTACCAAGATCTACCACAGTATACTGAACTTGCCAGCTAAGACTTATATACTTTCCTGAACCCTGAGAGAGATCTTAAAGAATCAGTCCTTGAGAATTAATTGGGTGAATGATCAGATTTCATTGCCTGAGAGGTTGTGCGCCATGTTTTAAGAAGATTACTTCATTCATAAATCAGATTAAAAATGAGGATGCATTTTAATCTTACCACTGTTTTATAATTATTTCAGTACTGGCCCCAGCCCAGAAAATGTTGCCGTATGGAACCCCCTGCATCTTGATGGCATTTCAAAATGCAGTATTTCCACTTCTGAAAAATCTAAGTCAATGAATTGGTAAAATCTGCCACCTACTGGTCAAGCAAAATATTATTTTTAGAGCACCACAGTGAAGACTAACATAAAAGCTGCAAAATGTGCTTATACTTTGTAAAAACCCAGTATTTTCTTTATAACAAGAACAAATGGTTATAAAAAACAGTTTCAACAAAATCCGTTTTAATCATCTGTTCCCATCCCCAGAGTACTAGTAGGCTGTAATTGCACAAACCTGCCAATAAAATCATCCCTCTTGCCAGCATCTTTGTCCCACACAGTAATATCAATAATTCCACCTCTCTCTTCATAGAGATGAAAGTCAAACTGCTCTCTCCACTGAGGATTCAAAGTTTTTGGCACAATCTAAAAGGAGAGTAAAGAAAGTCATTATTGCATTGTACAGCCATGTTCTTTCTTGAACAGTAAAATTAATCTTTGGGTTCTGCCCAGAAAGTCTTTTTCATGCACTTAATAGCTTTAATAGGGAGACTTTTTAAACATTTTTTTTTAAATGAGGCCACTGATCAATGTCTTGATCCTGTTTGGGCAAATCATCTGCCTCCAGGATCTCACAGCTCTTCACCACTGGAAATCTCTAGGAACAATGGATTTGTCCTGGGAACTGAACCATTTTTCTCTAGACTAATGATTCCTTGTCCTGAGTGACAGGTAAGTGACAAAGTTGTCTTTCTAAAATAAAGGCAGAACAAAACACCTTAAAAAGACAAATAGATGGATACTGAAAACACTTAACCGGGACCTGAAGTTCACCAGATCTACACCATCTTTTCTTCTTTTCCCAGTCATTATTATCCTCAGGGAAAATTAATTTACCAAGATAATTTGTTGTTTGTTTATTTATAGGAGCAGACAGAGAGGTATTTTAAAAAGTGTAACCTCCTTTTCTTGTGCAATTCAGATGAAAGGATATACCTGGAGTGGTAATATTCACACCAGTTACCTCTAAAATATCATAGCAATCCTGAGTAGAGGTCTTTCTAGAACAAAAGGTTATCTAGTCTCTTCCATTAGAGTTCAATAACAGTAGTAACTCCAGAATTGAGCCAGAATGGAAGCTGGCCCAACACATTCTTTATAAGACAATATATAATTTTAACAATTTATATAAAAGCAGGGCTGAGAGGGACCTCCAAAGGTCATCTAGTCCAACCCCCTGCTTGAGGAAGGATCACCCCTATCCAAACCATCAGGTCCAATCAGCCCCATCACACAACTATAAGGCATATTGCCCCAAAACACCAACACCACCCTAACAGGCCACAGGAGAAGCAAGGGGATGAGGGCTATCAGTGTACAGCTCTTTTAAGGGTTGCTAAAATACCCTTGAGAGATCCATCCTCCCCCACCACTATAGAGAAAGGCAAAACTCCCCACAGCCCATACTAGTTTGAAAATGAAGTAAAGTTCCTTCTTGATCCAAAATACGGTGATCAGTCTGACCCTGAACAGAAGGGCAAAACCCTCTAATCAGAACCTCTGGGTTTTAGTCCCAGTAAAACCACTGGCATACCCACCCAAATCCTCAACCTTGGCTGCAGCCAGCATAAAAGCTTATAAAACCAAACCCTTTTCCTCCCTCCCTGCCTCCACACCAGTAGCAACAGGTGGGGAAAAATTCCTTCCCCACTCCATGTGGCCACCAGCAAAGCCCACAAGCATGGGAAAAAGCAAACACCCTCCATTCCACTCTATGAGCTGGGGCCAGCAAGCACAACTCCACACATAACATCCCCTATCTAGATAGCCAGAACCCCTCTTTCAGTACTCCCTCCATAAGTTTATCCCACATGCTTTAATCTTTCATAACTAAAGCTGGTTGTGGAGCTCTGCTTCATTATCCTGCTGCTGTATATGGTCTTCTCCAATATCCACCGGGTCTGGACTGCAGAACCCTTTTCATGATCTCCCAGTGATCTATGTGGGCGTGGGGGGATCCTGGGCTTCTATTTAAAGAGCACTGCAGGCATTACTTCTCCTAGATCACCCCTGATCAATGCCTATGCAACCTCTTCTTGAAAACCTCCAGTGATGGAGATTCTACAACGTTCCTAGGCAGTCGATTCCACTGCCTCACCATTCTAACAATGAAGATTTTCCTGATAGCTGATCAAAACTTACTTTGCCGCAACTTCAAACCACTGGTATACATTCTGCTGTCTACAAACAGGAGGAATGTGTTCTTCCTCTTCCTTATGGCAGCCTATAAGGGGGGAAGGGGTCAAGGACCACTGTAATTTTCCCTTTTAAAGAGCAGCAGGCCAGGGCTGCAATATGTTGCTGGCAGCTGAGTGAGGACCAGCTGCAAGAAATTAAGCAACCAAGGGAGATAAAGACGGGCATGACAGAGCTACAAGCAGTGGTTGAGGGGAAAGCTGTCTTACAACAAGCTACAAGGACAGTAGTTAAATAGTTTCATACTTTCTAGGGGTCGGAAGGGGCCTGAACAGATCATCTAGTCCAACCCCCAAGTTGTGAAGAACAACTGAGAAGACAGCAATAGGCAACAGCTGACTGATTAGTGGGCTAAGAAGAAACTTCTCTGCCCAGTTTTGGAGATAATGTGACTGGAAGTGGTGAAGTCCAGGGTACTAGAAGCCTGATTTCTAGGCCACAGACTCAGTCTGGTCCTGAGCTCTGCAGATGGAAGCTCTTATAGAAACCCAAGCTGCTGGAGAGGGGAACACCAGCAAACACAGGCATCCAGAAGAGCTGGAGGGTGCCAAATTTAGAGTTTGTGGTGACCCAGAAGGGTGTAAGCATTTTGCTAAGGAACAATTTCTTTATGATAGCTGTTAAAGCTGTAAATCATACGTGTGGCTGAAGGGGAGGCAGAAGACTATGGTGGAGTCCTACCTGTGCTCTACTCTCTGCTTGAAGCAGCAGGCTTAGAGCCTAGGTGGGACCACTGGTCAGGGGGAAGGCTAGTGTGGGAGAGCAGGACCAGTGGGAATAGACCACAGTGGATGCCAATCAGGCACTAAGCATTTTAGTTGAGGACGTAGAGCCCAGTGGATAGGACTGTACACGAAGATTGGAAGCAACCCAAAGGGAGGTAGAAAACCATGGAGGGAGGTAGTGGGTGCTCAATGTTCTGAGCTGTGGGCTAAGGGCCTGGTGGATTGAGGCAGGGCTGACCAGGGAGTCCAGAGAACTCAGTTGGGGAGCTAGATCACGGAGATAAGTGAGCAATTTGCTTAAGACTGAGACTAAGAAGAGGTGGCCTGCCCAGGACACGGACCAAGAGCCTGATGATGAGCAGGGCAGAGTAAAGCACCTCAAGGCTCACTCTGGTTTCTGAGGGTAGCTTCTCAAATTTATATCCATTTTTTCCACCAAGTTGTGGCAGGCAAGGTAGCAGAGCAGTACCCTGGAAGGCCAGAGTAGGAGAAAATTGAACAAATGTAGTCACTAGGGGGTGTCAACCCTCTAAAAGTGAGTCTTTCCGTGCAGCCCTTCAGATGTTTGAAGACTGCTCTTACTTCCCCTCTTAACTGACAAGCTGAACATACCTATTTATTTCAAACTCTCCTCATTTGGTTTGCCTTCCAAACCTTTTATCATTTTTTTCACCAATCTCTGGACCCTCTAACTTTTCCACACCCTTTTAAAAGTGTGAAGCACCAAACTGCACACAATACTTTAGATTTGACCTAACCCACACCAAGTAAAAGGCACCATCAGCTCCCATATCTTGCACCTACTGGACGCCTATAGATGTGCAGTGAGGCTGCTCCAACTCACTGTAATTACAGCACGTTGAAGCAGACTTGATTAATCCAGTCTGCTGGAGTGTGGTAATTATCATGTTGCAACAGACTCCAGCTTCATATGCATCAGTGTCCCTGAAAAAAAAGGCAGCGGGGGCACTTTAACTAAAGCTCATTCGACCCCTCTTAAATAGCCCATGTGACGCTCTGGGCACTTTAATTAGAGTGGCTTTCAGAGCTGCTCTAATTAAACTGCTCTCCCCACTCTCAGAGTACATGTATAAGCACCCTAAGTTCTTACTGATGCACCCCAAAACCATATTAACCATTTTACAGCTGCATCATGCTACAAACTCGTATGCGTCTGTGATCCACCAAGACTTTTAAATCCTTTTCTGTAGTGCTGCCATGTAGCCACGTCACTCACTTTGTATATGCCTTTTTGACTATTCTTCCTGAAGTATAGCACCTTGCATTTGTCAGTACTGAACTTCAACCTGCTGGCTCTAATTCAGCTTTTCAATCTATCAAGATCCTTTTGAATTTCACTCCTGTTCCAGTATGTTCACAATCTTTCCCAGTTTCATGTTGTCCAGTAAATTACCAGGTATTAAGATTAGGTTAACTGATCTGTAATTCCCTAGGTCTACCTTTTCTCATTTTGGCCCTCTTCCAGTCCTCTAGTACCTTGCATGTCTCCCTTGACTTGGGCAATATTATGCCCCAAGATTCCCTCTGCCATTAGTATCTTAGTATGATTAAACCCTGCTATCTTTACTTTCTTTATACCAGTGGTTTTCAATTTTTTTTCTTTTGCAGACCCCTTAAAAATTTCAAATAAAGATGTGGACCCCTTTGGAAATTTTGAATGGAGGTGTGGGGCCCTTTGAATTGTAAGTGTGGGTATTCACATACTTTTGATTGATCATAGTCATCTTTCACAGATGCCTTAGACATAGTCTGTGGACAGAGGTTACCTGTATATTTAGAGAACTAGACTTGATAGCTCAGGGCTACCCTTCCAGTCCTATCTTACTATAAGGGATTGCATTTCAAGTCCAATCATTAAGCATAGTTATACAGATATTTCCAATGAACAGCTCTACTTGTTCACCTCAGACCTAGGATAGTGTTTGTTTTTTCTGAGCAAAAAGTCAAGGCTACAGAAAATAGTACTTTTTAGGCTGAAAAAGTAATATTGAACATGAGCCGGCAGCATAACGAAGTCATCAACAAGGCCAATTGCACCTTGTCTGCATTAGCAGATGCATAACCAACAGATCGAGGGAGGCGATGCTCTCCCTCTGTGCAGCATTGGTCAGGCCACAGTTGGAGTACTGTATCCAGTTTTGGGTGCTGCACTTTAGGAGGGACATGGAAAATCTGGAGAGGGTTCAGAGGAGGGCCACTCGCATGATTAGCTGCTTCTGTGAAAGACCCTACAAGGGAAGGTTGAGGGATCTGGATCTCTTCAGCCTTTACAAGAGCCATCTGAGGGGAGACCTTGTAGCTGCCTATAATTTTATCAAGGGAGGACAACAGGGAATTGGAGATGCGCTATTTACCAGAGCACCCCTAGAAGTAACTAGGAATAATGGGTGCAAACTAGTGGAGAGTAGATTCAGGTTAGACACTAGGAAAAAAAAAAATTATGGTAAGAGTGGCCAGAATTTGGAATGGGCTTCTAAGAGAGGTGGTACTATCACCTAACTTGGAGGTCTTCAAGAGGAGGCTAGACAGTCAACTGGCTGGGATCATCTGACCTAAGTCCTCTTTCCTGACAGGGGCAGGGGATTGGACACGATGATCCTTTGTGGTCCCTTCCGACTCTACAATCTATGAATCTATGACTATATCTGAATGCTTTCAAAAAGATGTATTTCATTAGTTTCGTTGTAACAGTGTTTGCCAGAGAAAGTTTTGGAGTGGGGAGAAGAGGAGACTGACCACTTATTTAAAAAATAAACCTAAAGAATGACAGAGGATATGCTCAACTATTTACTGACTGGGTATTATAAACTGGCAAAAACACCGTACCTGATTTTTGTCAGAAAAAATAAATTTGAGAAAAGATGAAAAACACTTTCAAAATATTAAAATTAAATATTTAGATTGATCACCCTGGAAACCAAGTAAAATCCAAGTAGAAAAAGTTTCCTCTTCCTGTCATTTTATCAGGGCTAATCTAAAATATCAAGAGTCAAATTAATATTTGCAGAATTACATTAGGGATGGATTTTGCTTATATTTGGTGACACAAGGCACTGTGACTCATGTAGGAATGAAGCATATAAACAGTGAACTTTAATAATCATGTCCACTGTTCTGGTCCGCTATGTACCAGACTAAATCTGTAACTTTGGGACAGATTTTTTTGTGGGCTTTCCTAAATTGTCTTAATGTTGATGGATCCTTAAAGCTATTAATTTACTGTTCTACTTGCATTTCGTGGAGCTGTAACAGCACATTGTTTACTCTGAGCAGAGTATCAACCAGCTCACTAGCCCAGGTGGACATTTAGTCTCCATACAGCTGCACTCAACCATTTTCATCCAACCTGGCTAGATAACTAGGTATGCTGTAGCCCTAGCCACATCATTTTTTAAAGAGATATAAAGGGAATTTTCCATTAGTCAGGATTAGTCAATCAGATTGGGTTTTACACCCTCCCTACAGTACCTTGGAAATGCGGCCAGTTAATTAGAACAGTGGAAAGGAAAAGAAAAAACTAAACACAACCCCCTATTAAATATTGTGACTTGCAGACAGTGTCCACATAGTACGAACAGTGTAAGTGGACAACATGCTTTTGGTGTAAACACAAGCAAAGGATCCAAAAGGTTACTAGCACTAAGCCAGGCTGGTTTGGTACAAGGTAGATCTTAAGTTTTGTGCAGTTAGAATCAGTCTCATAGATGCTATCATCCTGCACATGAACATAGTGTGAATTGCTTTTTGAGAGTATTGGGAGGCAAGATTAAGTTTTGTTTCCTTGACATTATGATGTAATAATATTGCACTGAGAAATATAACAGTATAACAACGGCATACTGAGAAACCAAGGTAAATTATTATTTTTTTCAATGCCTCATCCTTTTCCACATATTTATTTACACTTCAATTAAAATAATAAAAAGACAAAAGCTCTACACGCTGTAACAGCTAATTAGTATTACAATAAAATCCAAGCAGAATCCAAATAATCATCCAAGCAGAAAATCGCAGATGTTAATTAAAGAAACAGAATGTATATTTCAGATCATAATTAAAAGACATTACCTTGCTCTTGTATTTCTGATGCCCCAAACGGCACTTCACATAAGGATCACTCAACCCATTTGCATCCATAGCCTTGAGACCACGACCCTCTATCAAAGTGACACTGACTATCCCTCTCCATAGTTGAGATTTTCTGTGAAGGTCTGACAGACGTAAACTCTGGGTCTGAAACTTCAGGTAAAGGATAAACTAGACTTAGTTATAACAAGCACAGATATTTACTATTTGATCTATTATTCAATGTTTTATATAAATATAAAAGGGAAAACACTTTTCAACTTACTACAAAAGGTTTCTTTAAAAATATGGACTGTTAACTCTATTCTAATACAAGATTTTCTTCCCCATTTAACACAGGGAAAAATGCCCCTCATCTTAGAATCACATATTGGGGGGTGGGGAAGCAGGCAATTGCTGTGGCTTCGGCTCCAGCCCCTACCTGGGGTCTGGCCATGGAAGCAGTCTCCGAT